CGGGGTCAGAGAAGATGGGGGATTTAGGACTGTGATATCCCAGATAGTCCGTGTATGATGAAAAGGGACGCGAGGAGAGAGAGTAAATGGAAAACACTGTAGGGCGTGAGAAAGCCGGGGGTGGGTTGGTAGGACGAGTCGGGTTTAAGTCAGGATAGGGGGGAGGGTACGGGGGAGGGAAGATCCAATGAGATGGCGGGCTGAGTTGGGCGGGGCTAGATATGGTGATGAATTGGGACTTAAGGGTTGAAAGTAGAGGGGGGTAGCGTTATGTCTGGGTGCAGAGGATCGACGAACAGAGGTTTGGTTTGAACTAGACGGCTTGATCCGGGATCGGGGGAGTGTGGGGGGGTAGAGATCTGATGACGAGATCGGGGTGAACGGATTTAGGGAGAATCCTACCAGATGGGAGGTTGGGAGCAAGGGTAGGGGGTGAGGGGGTGAGGGGGGAGAGGTGAGTCTGGATGCCTGGAGGCCGAGAAGGGACCGGGAGGGACTTATCCGGGGGGTGGGGAGAAAAAGGAGGGTGAGTATGGGCGGAGTCTGATTTGCCGTCGCTAGGGGCGGGGGGAGAATTCTTTGGTGAGAAGTCAGTGAGAAGTTGGAGGAGCGTCCATTCTTATGCGGTGGAAAAGACAGTGGGTGAGAGAGAGAGGGGAGAGGTGAGATGGGGGAAAGGTGTGATTTTCAGTTTCGGTTAGCTCTCACTTTGTGTTGCTTCGCTGCCGGATCGCTGTCGCTTAGATATCACTTCGTTGTCGTGTTGTTGTGTGACGAGAGTTTTCCTCAAAATAGCGTTCTTCTTCCTCATGCGGTCTGCTCTTGAGATGTCGTGCAGACGGCATTCTCTGAAAAGGACACTGCTGCTCGAATACCACTTGATTGCTCGCTTGGCTGGATCCTCTTTGTACCTGATGCTGCCGTTCCCTGGCCTGGGGTGAAGCTCCCCTTACTCACCGAGTCTTCTCCTCCCCTTGGCCCAGACCGCTGCTAGGAACTGGAGAGAGCCTTGTGTTGTTTGTCCTCATTGCACCCGTCTTGCCATGATGACCAAGACGCGCGCGCCTGGCGCGCGCGCGTAGGTGACTTCGTAGGAAAGTCCGGCTATCGCTGGAATGCTTGATTGGATACGTCGACTTGTGTGTCGCTTTCCGAAATCAAGGCTGGCGCGAAACTCGGCCGCGGCGAGAGCCCGACGTTCGAATTCGAAAGGTTGGAATTGGCGCCCGCGCGGGGCCGGGGGGCCGAGCGTCGCTAGCGCAAAATAGCGCTATTTTCAGCGCTTACCAAAGGCGCGAGCGCGAAGACTCAAAAACTCAGTACCCCTAGACTCTAAGCCTAACGAACTTCCAAAATTCATTTTTTGGCCTCTAAAGGTACTAACTTTTTGTCTTCATCAGCCTACCTTCCCGCTACTTGAGTGTTTTCCAACATACGTGGGCCTAGCCTACTTCAAATTCCCGCTGCACCCGCATGACAACACCGCC